TTGCTGTTGCAATCAGCTTGCCAATATTTTATTGAAGATTTTTGGATCTATGTTCATCATGGATATTGGCCTGAAGTTTTCTTTTCTCGTTGGGTCTCTGCTGGGTTTTGGTATCAGGATGATGTTGGTCTCATAAAATGATTTGGGAAGGATTCCCTCTTTTTGGATTGTTTGAAATAGTTTTAGAAGGAATGGTACCAGCTCCTCCTCGTGTGTCTGGTAGAATTCGGCTGTGAACCCTTCTGGACCTGGGCTTTTTTTGTGAGGTAGGCTGTTAATTGCTGCCTCAACTTCAGACCTTGTTATTGGTCTATTCATAGTTTCAGCTTCCTCCTGGTTTAGGCTTGGGAGGACACAGGAGTCCAGGAATTTATCCATTTCTTCCAGGTTTACTAGTTTATGCGCGTATAGTTGTTTGTAATATTCTCTGATGATGGTTTGAATTTCTGTGGAATCTGTGGTGATTTCCCCTTTATCATTTTTTATTGCATCTATTTGGTTGTTCTCTTTTATTTTTAATCAATCTGGCTCGTGGTCTGTCTATTTTGTTGATCTTTTCAAAAAACCAGCTCTTGGATTTATTGATTTTTTGAAGGGTTTTTCGTGTCTCAATCTCCTTCAGCTCAGCTCTAATCTTAGTAATTTCTTGTCTTCTGCTGGGTTTTGAGTTTTTTTGATCTTGCTCCTCTAGCTCTTTCAATTTTGATGATAGGGTGTCAATTTTGGATCTCTCCATTCTCCTCATATGGGCACTTATTGCTATATACTTTCCTCTAGAGACTGCTTTAAATGTGTCCCAGAGGTTCTGGCACGTTGTGTCTTCGTTCTCACTGGTTTCGAAGAACTTCTTTATTTCTGCCTTCATTTCGTTGTTTACCCAGTCAACATTCAAGAGCCAGTTGTTCAGTTTCCATGAAGCTGTGCGGTTCTGGGTCGGTTTCTGAATTCTGAGTTCTAACTTGATTGCACTATGGTCTGAGAGGCTGTTTGTTATGATTTCAGTTGTTTTGCATTTGTTGAGCAGTGCTTTACTTCCAATTATGTGGTCAATTTTAGAGTAGGTGTGATGTGGTGCTGAGAAGAAAGTGTATTCTGTGGATTTGGGGTGGAGAGTTCTGTAAATGTTTATCAGGTTTGCTTGCTCCAGGTCTGAGTTCAAGCCCTGGATATCCTTGTTGATTTTCTGTCTGGTTGATCTGTCTAGTATTGATAGTGGAGTGTTAAAGTCTCCCACTATTATTGTGTGGGAGTCTAAGTCCTTTTGTAAGTCATTAAGAACTTGCCTTATGTATCTGGGTGCTCCTGTGTTGGGTCCATATATGTTTAGGATCGTTAGCTCTTCTTGTTGTATCGATCCTTTTACCATTATGTAATGGCCTTCTTTGTCTCTTTTGATCTTTGTTGCTTTAAAGTCTATTTTATCAGAGATGAGAATTGCAACTCCTGCTTTTTTTTGCTTTCCATTAGCTTGGTAAATCTTCCTCCATCCCTTTATTTTGAGCCTTTGTGTATCCTTGCATGTGAGATGGGTTTCCTGGATACAGCACACTGATGGGTTTTGGCTTTTTATCCAATTTGCCAGTCTGTGTCTTTTGATTGGTGCATTTAGTCCATTTACATTTAGGGTTAATATTGTTATGTGTGAATTTGATACTGCCATTTTGATGCTAAGTGGCTGTTTTGCCTGTTAGTTGTTGTAGATTCTTCATTATGTTGAAGCTCTTTAGCATTCAGTGTGATTTTGGAATGGCTGGTACTGATTGATCCTTTCTATGTGTAGTGCCTCTTTTAGGAGCTCTTGTAAAGCAGGCCTGGTGGTGACAAAATCTCTGAGTACTTGCTTGTTCGCAAAGGATTTTATTCTTCCTTCACTTCTGAAGCTCAGTTTGGCTGGATATGAAATTCTGGGTTGAAAGTTCTTTTCTTTAAGAATGTTGAATATTGGCCCCCAGTCTCTTCTGGCTTGTAGTGTTTCTGCCGAGAGATCTGCTGTGAGTCTGATGGGCTTCCCTTTGTGGGTGACCCGACCTTTCTCTCTGGCTGCCCTTAGTATTCTCTCCTTTATTTCAACTCTGTTGAATCTGACGATTATGTGCCTTGGGGTTGCTCTTCTTGTGGAATATCTTTGTGGTGTTCTCTGTATTTCCTGCAATTGAGTGTTGGCTTGTCTTGCTAGGTGGGGGAAATTTTCCTGGATGATGTCCTGAAGAGTATTTTCCAGCTTGGATTCATTCTCTTCGTCCCCTTCTGGTACACCTATCAAACGTAGGTTAGGTCTTTTCACATAGTCCCATATTTCTTGGAGACTTTGTTCATTCCTTTTTGCGCTTTTTTCTCTGATCTTGGTTTCTCGTTTTATTTCATTGAGTTGGTCTTCGACTTCAGATATTCTTTCTTCTGCTTGGTCAATTCGGCTATTGAAACTTGTGTTTGCTTCGCGAAGTTCTCGTATTGTGTTTTTCAGCTCCTTTATTTCATTCATATTCCTCTCTAAGGTATCCATTCTTGTTATCATTTCCTCGAATCTTTTTTCAAGGTTCTTAGTTTCTTTGCATTGATTTAATACATGATCTTTTAGCTCACAAAAGTTTCTCATTATCCATCTTCTGAAGTCTAATCCAGCTTTGCTCCCTTGCTGGTGAGGAGTTTTGGTCCTTTCTAGGAGGCGAGGTGTTCTGGTTTCGGGTGTTTTCCTCCTTTTTGCGCTGGTTTCTTCCCATCTTTGTGGATTTGTCTGCTGGTCGTCTGCGTAGTTGCTGACTTTTCGTTTGGGTCTCTGAGTGGACACCCAGAATGTTGATGATGAAGTATTTCTGTTGCTTGGTTTTCCTTCTACCAGTCTAGCCCCTTCGCTGTACGACTGCTGAGGTCTGCTCCAGACCCTGCTTGTCTGGGGTACACCTCTAGTAGCTGTGGCACAGTGAGGGATGCTACCAGTTTCTTTTTCTGCTCTCTTTGTCCCAGGATGATGCCTGCCTAATGTCCGTCTTTTGGATATAGAGGGGTCAGGGAGCTGCTTGAGGAGACAGTTTGTACTTTATAGGGGTTTAATTGCTGAGCTGTGCACTCTGTTGTTCATTCAGGGCTGTTAGGCTGCTATGTTTGATTCTGCTGCAACAGAGCTCATTAAAAAACCCTTTTTTTTTTTTTTTTTTTTCTCAAATGCTCTGTGTTGAGGGGTTTGGGCTTTATTTTTGGATGTCTGATCAGGTGTCCTGCCCAGCTAGGAGGCAGACTAGCCACTGTTTGGCTGTCGAGGCTCCGCCCTGCTGTTGTGTGATTCGCGCTGTTCCTGCCAGCTCTGCTGTGGTCTCCGCCACGCCCTGCAGCGGAGTCTCTTCGTTGTAGCGTGTTAGCAACGGCAGGCTGCGTCAGCAGTGGGCGTGTATCTCAGTTGGGGCGGGTTGCCTCGGCAACGGCTGGCTGCTTCAGCAGTGGGCGTGTATCTCAGTTGGGGCGGGTTGCCTCGGTAGTGGTGGACGCCCCTCCCCCACAGAGCGTCTAGGACCGTCTGCTCTGGATAGTTTGAAATCGCGGTTTTGTTGGTCCCACTGGGTATCCCAATCCCTGCAATCCCCTGGGCTGGCCTAGTGTCCAAGTCTCGTTCAGTCTCAAGTCCAGCCCTCTCAAGTCTCAGGTTGCCGGTTCAACAGGGCACCCGGACAAGCGCGCCCTGTGGGGATTGCTGGGTAGGGCCGGCCGCCGCCGCCCCGGCTGCCGGCTTCGCCAGGCAGACCTACTGCCTGGCGTCCCGTGTCTTTTTTATACTTGGGAGTTTCCCCGTTCTGTGGGCAACAAAGATCAGTCTGAAAATGCCACTCTGACTCACCGTTTGCAGATTCAACGAGAAGAGCTCCAATCCTGGGTTGTTCTCACAGCGCCATCTTGAGTCCTCCCCAAGAGTGGGATGTTTTATTCCAAGTGATAAGATTTCAAACTGCAGAATTTCTGGTAGTCTGTAATTGTAGAGAACAAAATTTCTAAAGAGTAAGAAAGGAGTCTCCATCCAAAGGGGGTTTTTGACACTTTATGGCTGCAGCGTGCTCTTAAGAGAAATGCCGTTTCCTGTGAACTTTGTGGTTTCATTGATTTCTTATCCCAGCTCTGTGAATGGGAGTGGATTTTTTATTTATTTATTTTTTTGAGATGGAGTCTTGCTCTGTTGCCAGGCTGGAGTGCAATGGCACAATCTTGGCTAACTGCAACCTCTTCCTCCTAAGCAATTCTGCCTCAGCCTCCCAAGTAGCTGGGACTACAGGCGCACCCCACCACAGCCAGCTAATTTTTGTATTTTTAGTAGAGATGGTGTTTCACCATATTGAACAGGATGGTCTCAATCTCTTGACCTCGTGATCCATCTGCCTCAGCCTCCCAAGTGCTGGGATTACAGGCATGAGCCACCGCGCCCAGCCAGGGAATGGATTTTGTTTTCTTAAGGAGGAGGTAGGAATGAGCTTCCTGTCCTGGGTTTTTCATGTCTGGCTCCTCTCAGGCGTCTGGTCTCAGTGTGAAGTTTACCTCCTCAGAGAGGTCTCCTGGGATGCTTCCTCCAGGGAGTTCCTACACTGTTGCTTTCTATCCTTGAACCCTCATCACAGGATGATGGTAGACCTTTTTGATTACTTGTTTATTGTCTGTCTTCCCCACTAGACTTTCCCCCAAGCTCCAGCAGGATGAGAACCATGCTGGTGTAATTCACTCGTGTGTCTCCAGCACCCAGTGCAGGGCTGGGCACATAGAAGCTGCTCAAGACATGTTGTGTGATTGAGCAGCTGGAAGACAGTGATGGAGGTGAAATGAGCAGACTGGGACGGAGAGGCTGGTGAGGCAGCACAGAGCTTCCCCGTGGCACTGCTCTGTCCTGGGGCTTAAGAGGACAGTTGGACTTGAGGCAGGAGAAGGGCCCCTGGGGAATGTGGGCCATTTGGACTATGGCGATTGGTCTGGGTACAGAGCTACAGTTTCTGTTTACACACTTCCTGTTTGGTACTTTGCGGCAGGGTATTTCCAGACCAGTCCCTGGGTGCCAGCCAGAGCATGGACTAACCAGGTATCTGGACAGAGACCTGAACTGGAGGAGATGCGCATTGGAGGTAACCTGCATGTCGCAACTGTCTCTGGCCCATTTCTGTCCCAGTGCCCCGGCATTCCAGTACTGTTTAGCTGGCTCCCGCTGGCATGGCCACATCCACTGTTAAAGTGTCCATACACTTCCATTCTGCTTGCATAAATCACTTCTGCCATCCAGGGTCCTACTTCAGGCCTCTCTGCTCCCAGGCCCCTCCACCATGGCCTTGAATGGCTCCAGCGGTAGAGCCCATACCTTATTAGTGGTCACTTATTGCTGGTGTTACCTCTGAGTGGTCATCTCTCTAATCTCACTACTGTTATTCTAGCTTGTGTTCTTGTCAGCTCCCGTCCCTGGTCATAACCAGGATCTCCTAACTGGTCTCCCAGCCTCATTCTCTTTTACCCCAAATGTAACTTTCATAACTGCTGAAGAGTAGCTTTTGCTTCTTAAAACTGTTCAGGGTATTCTGAGTACCTCCCAGGGAACAGGACAGCTGATTAGCTGGGTTCAAGAGACCTTCAACCTCCCAGCCTCCACCTGCTACCTTAAGCAGCCTCCTTCAGTTGTCCTTTGTCCACATCCCACCAGCTAATATATTTTGTTTTCATTTTACTGAATATTCATGAGCATCTATTCAATGCATGCTACAGTGAGTTGGACAGTTAGACACAAACACCTCCCACCTAATGTAATCTAATCTAGAGGAACCCACATTGCAATAAAAAGTAATGATTAAGGGAATAGCTAAAATTGGGCATTTGGGGTAAGCTTCAATACCTGCTTTAATCCTCATGGTAATGTTGTGGCTTACAGGACCCTTGAGTAGAAGAGGCATCAGAATACGTTCTCAAAAATGAAAGCTGACTGTAACAACTTCTTGTTTCATTGTGTATTTTAGGAAATTGCAGAGGCTGTCAACATGGAAAAGCAGCCCCAGAACAGCAGGAGAGGCCTCGCTCCCCGAGAGGTACCCCCAGCCGTTGGACTGCTGCTGGTCATGGCCCTAATGAACACTCTGCTCTACCTCTGCCTCTACCGCTTCTTCATTGCCCCTCAGCAGTCCCTGGTGGACCCCAGACACTGTCCCTATGGTCACTTCAGGATAGGACAGATGAAAAACTGCTCACCTTGGCTGTCCTGTGAGGAGCTGAGAACAGAAGTGAGACAGCTGAAGCGTGTCGGGGAAGGAGCCGTGAAGAGAGTGAGTCTGGGTTCATTTCTGATCACTGTCATCATGTTATTTCACTTAACACAGTGTCCTCCAGCTCCATCCATGCTGGCACGAATTACGGAATTTCATCCTTCTTTACTGCTAAAGTGTACTCCATTGCATGTGTGCACCACATTTTCTTGTCTATTCATCTGTTGATGGACGTTTAGGTTGATTCTTTTTCTTGATAATCGTGAATAGTGCTGCAGTAGGCATAGGGTTCATCCTTTGGGGAAACAGTGTGGCATCGAGTGTTAGGAGCCCTATTGGCTCTAAGTGTCCATCATTCTTTGAGCTCAGTAACCTCACATCTGGCACTTTATCTTTATTTTAATTTTTTTTCCTTGTGATGGAGTCTCACTCTGTCACCCAGGCTGGAGTGCAGTGGAACCATCTTGACTCACTGCAACTTCTACCTCCTGGGTTCAAGCGATTCTTGTGACTCAGCCTCCCAAGTAGTTGGGACTATAGGTGTGTGCCACCATGCCTGGATAATTTTTGTATTTTTAGTAGAGACAGGGTTTCACCATGTTGGCCAGACTGGTCTTGAACTCCTGACCTTAAGTGATCTGCCTGTCTCAGCCTCCCAATGGAACTTTTATATTAATAAGTAATCTAAGGCAGGAAAAAGGCCAAATGCATAAAGGAGTGCTATAGTGATAGAAAACTAGAAACAGTACTTTTTGAATAGTTCATGGTCCATTTACTTGACAGAATATACTGCAACCATTGTGTAGTTAGGAACCCCAGGAGGCAACACAAAGAAAACCTTGTAATAATAAGTGAAGAAAATAAGATACAAAAATGTATAATTGACTTTTCAACTGTGAAATTGTATATATATGTAGATAGATACAAAAATGGCCAGGCGTGGTGGCTCATACATGTAATCCCAGCACTTTGGGAGGTGGAGATGGGTGGATCACTTGAGCCTAGGAATTCCAGATCAGCCTGGGCAACATGGCAAAACCCGTCTCTACAAAAATTAGCCTGGCATAGTGGCACATGCTACTTAGGAAGCTGAGGTGGCAGAATCTCTTGAGCCCAAGGAGCTTGGGGCTGCATTGAGCTGTTATCTTGCCACTGCATTTTAGCCTGGGCAACAGAGCAAGACCCTGTCTCCAAAGAAAAAAAAGAAAAATATGAAAATGATAGAAATTGTGCTAGGGTGAAAGGGGGATTATGGAGAATTTTTTTCCCCCGTTTTTTGAATTCTCTGATGGTATTATACTGAGTTTTAAAACTTATTTTTAATTGGCACATACTAATGATACATATTTATGGGGTACATAGTGATGGTTCTATACCTATATACAATGTATAGTGATCGAATCAGAGCATATCTATCATCTCAAACATTTATCACTTATTTCAGTTGGGAACATTCAATAACCTCACTTCTAGCTATTTGAAAGTGTATATAATATATTGTTAATTTGAAAGTGTATAATATATTGTTAATTATAGTCATCCTGTGGTGCTATAAAACACTAGAACTTGCTTCTCCTATCTGGCTGTAGTTTTGTATCCTTTAACAAATATCTCCCTGTCCTCGCCTTTGCTCTACCCTTCCCAGCCTCTAGAAACCTCTGTTCTGCTTTTTTTTTTTTTTTTTTTGTGACGGAGTTTCGCTCTTGTTACCCAGGCTGGAGTGCAATGGCGCGATCTCAGCTCACCGCAACCTCCGCCTCCTGGGTTCAGGCAATTCTCCTGCCTCAGCCTCCTGAGTAGCTGGGATTACAGGCATGCGCCACTATGCCCAGCTAATTTTTTGTATTTTTAGTAGAGACGGGGGTCTCACCATGTTGACCAGGATGGTCTCGATCTCTTGACCTCATGATCCACCCGCCTCGGCCTCCCAAAGTGCTGGGATTACAGGCTTGAGCCACCGCACCCTGCCTCTGTTCTGCTTTTTACTTCTTTGAGTAAACTTTTTTAAATTTCTTCATATGAATGAGAACTTGTAGTGTTTAACTTTTTGTTCCTCGTTTATTTCACTTAACATAATGTCCTCTAGTTTCATTCATGTTGCCATGAATGAAATAAGATTTGCTTACATTTTATGGCTGAATAGTATTCCATTTTGTATATACATCACATTTTCTGTATCCATCTGCTGAAGGACACTCAGGTCGAGTCCAAATCTTGGCTATTGTGAATAGTGCTGCAATAAACATGGGGCTGCACATATCTCTTCAATATATTGATTTCCTTTCCTTTGGATGTATATATCCAGTAGTGGAATTGCTGGATCAAATACGTTAGTTATATTTGTAACTTTTTTTTTAATCTCTTTTTTTAAATTGCATTTTAGGTTTTGGGGTACATGTGAAGAACATGCAGGATTCTTGCATAGGTACACATGTGGCAGTTTGATTTGCTGCCTTCCTCCCCATCACCTATATCTGGCATTTCTCCCCATGCTATCTCTCCCCAACTCCCCAACCCCCGCTGTCCCTCCCTTATTTCCCCTGAGAGACCCCAGTGTGTTGTGTGATGCTCCCCTCCCTGTGATGTGTTCTCCTTGTTCAACACCCAACTATGAGTGAGAATATGCAGTGTTTGATTTTCTGTTCTTGTGTCAGTTTGCTGAGAATGATGGTTTCCAGGTTCATCCATGTCTCTACAAAGGACACGAACTCATTGTTTTTTTGGCTGCATAGTATTCCATGGTGTGTATGTGCCATATTTTTCCTGTCCAGTCTATCATTGATGGGTATTTGGGTTGGTTCCAGGTCTTTGCTATTGTAAACAGTGCTGCAGTGAGCATTCATGTACATATGTCCCTATGATAGAATGATTTATAATCCCTTGGATATATACCCAGTAATGGGATTGCTGGGTCAAATGGAATTTCTATTTCTAGGTCCTTAAGGAATCACCACACTGTCTTCCACAATGGTTGAATTAATTTACACTCCCACCAACAGTGTAAAAGTGTTCCTATTTCTCTACATCCTCTCCAGCGTCTGTTGTCTCCAGATTTTTTTCTTTTTTTTTAAATTTATTTTACTTTTGGTGCATACTATATCTAGCATTTCTCCCCGTGTTATCCCTCCCCACCCTCCCCGCCCCCGTTATCTCTCCCCTACCCTCCCCCTGCAACTGTCCCTGTGTGTGATGCTCCTCTCCCTGAATCCACGTGTTTTCGTTGTTCAGCACTCACCTATGAGTGAGAACATATGGTGCTTGACTTTCTGTTCTTGTGTCAGTTTGCTGAGAATGATGGTTTTCAGATTCATCCAAGTCCCTACAAAGGACAGGAATTCATCAGTTTTTATGGCTGTGTAGTATTCCATAGTGTATATGTACCACATTTTCTCTGTCCAGTCTATCATTGATGGGCATTTGGGTTGGTTCCAGGTCTTTGCTATTGTAAACAGTGCCGCAATGAATATTTGTGTGCATGTGTCTTTATAGTAGAATAGTTTATAGTTCTTTGGGTATATACCCAATAGTGGGTTTGCTGGGTCAAATGGAATTTCTATTTCTAGATCCTTGAGAAATCGCCACACTGTCTTCCACAATGGTTGAACTAATTTACAGTCCCACCAACTGTGTAAGAGTGTTCCTATTTCTCCACATCCTCTCCAGCATCTGTTGTCTCCAGATTTTTTAATGATCGCCATTCTAACTGGCATGAGATGATATCTCAGTGTGGTTTTGGTTTGCATTTCTCTAATGACCAGTGATGATGAGCATTTTTTCATATGCTTATTGGCCTCATATGTGTCCTCTTTTGAAAAGTGTCTGTTCATATCCTTGGCCCACTTTTGAATGGGGTTGTTTGTTTTTTTCTTGTATATCTGTTTTAATTCTTTGTAGATTCTGGATATTAGCCCTTTCTCAGATGGGTAGATTGCAAAAATTTTTCCCCATTTTGTTGGTTGTCGATTCACTCTAATGATGGTTTCTTTTGCTGTACAGAAGCTCTGGAGTTTAATTAGATCCCATTTGTCTATCCTGGCTTTTATTGCCATTGCTTTTGGTGTTTTAGTCATGAAGTCCTTGCCTGTGCTTATGTCCTGGATGGTTTTGCCTATGTTTTCTTCGAGTGTTTTTATGGTGTTATGTTTTATGTTTAAATCTTTGATCCATCTGGAGTTAATTTTAGTCTAAGGTGACAGATAGGGGTCCAGTTTCTGCTTTCTGCACATTGCTAGCCAGTTTTCCCAACACCATTTATTAAACATGGAGTCCTTTCCCCATTGCTTGTTTTTGCTGGGTTTGTCAAAGATCAGATGGTTTTAGATGTGTGATGTTTCTTCTGGGGTTTCTGTTCTGTTCCATTGGTCTATGTCTCTGTTTTGGTACCAGTACCATGCTGTTTTGATTACTGTAGCCTTGTAGTATAGTTTGAAGTCTGGCAGTGTGATGCCTCTGGCTTTCTTCTTTTTTGCTTAGGATTGTCTTGGCTATGTGGGGTCTTTTGATATTCCATATGAAGTTTAAAGTGGTTTTTTCCAGTTCTGTGAAGAAGGTCATTGGTAGCTTGATGGGGATAGCATTGAATCTATAGATTACTTTGGGCAGTATGGCCATTTTCACAATATTGATTCTTCCTAACCATGAGCATGGAATGTTTCTCCATCTGTTTGTGTCCTCTCTTATTGCGTTGAGCAGTGGTTTGTAGTTCTCCTTGAAGAGGTCCTTTACATCCTTTGTTAGTTGTATTCCTAGGTATTTTATTCTCTTTGTAGCAATTGTGAATGGGTGTTCACTCTTGATTTGGCTCTCTGTTTGTCTGTTATTGGTATATAGGAATGCTTGTGATTTTTGCACATTGATTTTGTATGCTGAGACTTTGCTGAAGTTGTTTATCAGTTTAAGAAGATTTTGGGCTGAGATGATGGGGTCTTCTAGATATACAATCATGTCATCTGCAAATAGAGACAGTTTGACTTCCTCCTTTCCTAATCGAATACCTTTATTTCTTTTTCTTGCCTGATTGCTCTGGCTAGAACTTCCAATACTATATTGAATAGGAGTGG